ATCTTGTTCTGACTTTAATCATTGTATCTGCAGATGAACAGCATGTCATGAAAACCTAGGTCATTAAAGTATGAGTTACTTGCTTAAACATAAAAGTATTAGTTCCATTACATCCTCAAAATCAGGATTTTTGTTGCTACTGCTCAAAAAAATGCTTCAATTTTTTTTAGGATTATATTTCACACAATTCATTCAAATGATACATTGATAAGGCATTACTTCATTATATTCAGACAAAATGCAATTTTTGCACACATTAAAATCAAAACCCTAAATTTTCCTACTTTTCCACATTCCACTTTTGGACTTAATCCTTGTTTCAATGTGATGGGTCATGTTTATGGAAATTATTCATCTCATTTTTCATCTGTTCAACATGTAAACTTGTTTTTTTTCTATAGTCTTTTTAATGTCTGTAAAATAGTAAAAATAAACAGACACGTTGCGTATGTTTGTGTTTTAGGGGAAGCGGCCCGTCAGCCTCATAGGTTTTAGTCTCGGAGCTCGAGTTATCTACTACTGTCTGCAGGAGCTCGCCAGTGATAAMGGTACTGAACAAAGCACTCCTGACTCGTCTTGACTTTAACATCTGCAACATTAAGCAGACGAGATTTCACTCATTTCATCCTGACTTATTAAAATGATGAATCTCTTTACTTAAACTCTCAGGTAGTGAAGGAGTGGTGGAGGACGTGGTCCTCCTGGGAGCGCCAGTAGACGGCTCGGAGAAGTCCTGGAAGAAAATGGCGAAAGTGGTGGCTGGAAAGATAGTTAATGGATACTGCAGGTAAAGATTTCTGTTACATCCTGAAGACTTTGTGGCAGTGGTGCTGTTTGTATAAATGACTTTCTGAAATGTCCGTCCGTCAGAGGTGACTGGCTGCTCGGCTACTTGTACCGCAGCTCGTCCGCGCAGCTGTCCGTCGCTGGGCTGCAGCCAATCAACATTCAGGATCGACGCATGATCAACGTGGATCTTTCTTCTGTGGTGAATAATGGAAATTGATTTAAGAAGTTAAATTTAAAAAGTTAAAGTTCAGATCAGAAGTTGAAGGTTATTTTTTGTACAAATACTTTATATAAAAAATTTATTCTGTCAACACA